AGGGAAAGCGTAGCAATGGGCCCTCTCACCCGTCTGTCCGTTGCCCCTACCATGTTGTGATGTAGTGGCTACAGGTTGCCCATCACCTTGGCCGTTCTGGTGACCACCATTACCTCGGCCACCACGTCCTCCAGAATAACGGCCTCTACCATGACCACCTCTACCTCTAACATTTGGAGGTCTGTAACTCTGTTTTGGACAATATCTCTTAATATGTCCAATTTCCCCACATCCATAGCACTCTCTGGGCTCATGCATAGGTTTCTCAGAGAAGTGTTGACCGGTCGGATGTGGACCCCCAACTACAGTCTGTAGTGGAGACTGAATTGGTCGGACTGAGTAACCTCCGGAACCTTGTCCTCTAGAGTAAGAACCATTAAACTCACCTCCCTTTCGAAACTTTTTTGATGTATTTGCCATGGCGAAGTCATCTGGCTTCACTCCCTCTACCTCTATTACGAAGTCTACCACTTCTTGAAAAGATTTCGCTGTAGCTGCTACCTGTAAAGCTGAAATCTGCAACTCCGATCTCAACCCCTTCACAAAACGGCGAATCCGATCCTGTAGACTGAAACATAGTTGGGTGGCATACCGGGATAATGCACGAAACTTAGCCTCATATGCATTGACCGACATCCTACCTTGCTCTAGGCTCAAGAACTCATCCCTTTTCCTATCCCTCAAAGTTCGGGGGATATACTTCTCCATAAACAAGTTAGAGAATGAGGCCCAAGTCATAGGTGGTGCCTCTGTTGGTTGACACTCAACATGTGACCGCCACCACATTTTGGCATTCCCTTGAAACTGATAACTCACGAACTCAACACCAAACCGTTCTACTATACCCATCTTGTGTAGTAGCTCATGACAGTCAACCAGAAAATCGTAAGCATCCTCAGATTCAGCACCCTTGAAGACTGGAGGTTTCAATTTCAAGAACTTAGTGAAAAGTTCATGCTGATCATTTGTCATTGTAGGCCCAGTAGTCAGACATGGAAACGTGCCTATGTCTAATGAGGCATCCATACGAGGAGCCATACTGGCGGCATGTTGTACCTCTGAAACCGGAGGTGTTGGTGCAGAAAACACTGGAGGGGCCTGACCCTGATCAGACAACCCACTAAGATAAGCGAGAACCTGATTGATCATCTCTGGGGTAGGTTGGGGTGGCAATTCCTCATTTTGCACTTGTTCATTCTCCCCTTCCTCACCCTCTCTTACTACTTCCTCAGCCGGTGGAGGAGTCACTGCCCTAGTATCAGATGGGCTAGGTGCTCGTCCTCTTCCTCTAGAGGACGTCCTCCCACAACCTCTTCCACGGCCTCTTGCCGCTACTCTTCCTCTAGCTACAGCCCCAGTGGCTGGTTCAGACGCACCCTGTCCCGCCGGTGCTGGTGTCGGCGCTGTTGTTGCTCTAGATCTAACCATCTGCGAAATAGAGGGAAGATGGTCAGATACCAACTTGTATCACCTAGATACCAATTGGACCCAAGTAATAGCACGAAAGAAAGAATGAAAGAATGGAATTTTCCTGAAGTCTAATAGCCTCTCAAAGAAAAGTAAAGGCGTCCCCCTACCGTTCCTTAAGACTCTACTAGACTAGTTCTTGTGTGATGAGACCAACGAACCTAATGCTCTGATACCAAGTTTGTCACGACCCAAAATCGGGCCGCGACTGGCACCCACACTTACCCTCCTATGTGAGCAAACCAACCAATCTAAACCTTAACATTTCAATGTAATATCAACATAAAGTAATGCGGAAGACTTAAACTCCTTAATAAAAACCAATTCAATAACTTCTAAAATTCAACATCTATTATTCCCCAAAATCTGGAAGTCATCATCATAAGAACATCTATAATTAAATTACTAGACTAAGAGTATTCTAAAAGCTAAAACAAGTAAAAGCTAGTCCATGCCGGAACTTCAAGGCATCAAGACATGAGGAAGAAGATCCAGTCCAAGCTAGAAGCATTAGCTTACCCTGAAGATCCGATGTGACGAAGACTGGATAGAGTTGCGGTTGAGTTGAAGACGATGGCACGTTTGCTGCACTCCACAAATAACAAAGAAGAAAACATAAAAGTAGGGGTCAGTACAAAACACGGGTACCTAGTAGATATCATCGGCTAACTCAATATAGAAAATAGTATATATCAAATAATATCATAAAATCAACTAATATCCTTAGTATACATCATTTACAATTACCATAAACCTTGGTTACAACACCAAGCTCATCAATGAGGACTCACGCCTCCTCATCATACTCATTTGGGAATTAGGTTCATTAGATTGAATATATTAACATCTTTCAAGATTCATTATCTTTATTCCTCTCGTGTCGGTACGTGACACTCCGATCCTCATTCTATCCTGGTGTCGGAACGTGACACCCGATCCATATTCTATCCTGGTACCGGAACGTGGCACCCGATCCATATACTATCCTGGTGTCGAAACGTGACACTCCGATCCTCATTCTATCCTGGTACCGGAACGTGGCACCCGATCCATATTCTATCCTGGTGTCGGAACGTGACACTTTTATCCTCATATACTATCCTAGTACCGGAACGTGGCACCCAATCCATATTCTATCCTGGTGTCGAACGTGACACTCCGATCCTCATATACTATCCTGGTACCGGAACGTGGCACCCGATCCCCTAATCTCACTACTTTCGTTCATCAAGCTTTCTTTTATACCAAGGCATCATCATTAACAAAATAGATTAGGGTTTTGCAAGATTTGGGATTCAATAACTTCATCATGCTTATATAATCACAATTATATAATTACATTAATGCAAGCATACAATTAAGCACATAGCAGGGTTTACAATATTATCAATACATATCATTCGCTATTAAGAGTTTACTACGAATATCGTAAGAGAAACCATAACCTATCTCCACCGAAGATTAGTGATCAAGCAAGCAAATTCCCAAAGCTTTGTGTTTTCCTCTTCGTTTCTCCTCTCTCGATCAATCCTCTCTCTCTCTTTGTTCTTTCTATTTTCTTTATTCATACCCTCTTTCTTTTACCCTATAGTCAAAAACGTCCCTTAAAACGTATCAAGAAATCCGACCCAGACTGGGATTACGTAGTCTGTGACGTCCCGTCGCGCCTGCGACGGTTTGTCCTGCTGCTCCGTCACAGGCTTCAGAGACTCAATTTCTCTGAAGGGTCTGTGACGGTCCGTGCTGCCATTCCGTTACGAAGTTCAGAGAGTCGATTTTCAGTACCCAATTTTAGATTTTCTAAGTGTTTTGAAACGAGACCCTGCGACGGTCCGTCGTGCCGATGACGATCCGTCGTGGGGTCTGTCTCTTCTGCCAGTTTTTCCAGAATTGAAATCTGCTGCTCAAAATGACTAAACAGGTCATTACAATCAACTTGCGAGACATGACTTTCTATGGGGCATGAATATCTTCCCACGATGCCTGATTTTCTGCGGGGCATGAACATCTTCCCACGATGCACGACTTTCCGCAATGCATGAATGTTAACTCGCAATGCATGATTTTCTGCAAGGCATGAATATTTTCCCACAATACATTAGTATCTTTGGTGACAGATGAATGTAGTGCTTTAATCGAGCCACATAATGATCTTTTGGGTGCCTTCTGGATAATGACATCGTCTCAATTGACGATATGATAAAATGACTCTCCAAGTAGTGTATCATCACCATCGACAATACAAATAAAATTACCATCCGGGTAGCCTATGTCTCAATCGACAATACAAATAAAATGGCCCCTCCTAGTGGTAATACTATCACGTCTGATAATATGATGCAGATGAGCCCTTGACGAAAAGCTGTAAAATGTCTTTCTCGAGTTTTTATTTTATTCATCTTTGAACACGATTATATCTTTATCACAGACTTCGTTGTTGGGAATTGAATGAAACAATAATGTTATCAGTCCCCACTCTTCTATATAAGCAATATAAAATATTTCCTGCATCCACAGAAAAATTATAAATTTAGAGAGCTCTTTGCCCCCCTTGACTTCTATGTATTCATCGATTGGAAGAATTTGCTAATTTCAAAAACCTATAAACCAACATCTACAGAAAAATCATTAGTTTTAAAATGAACTGATATGTATTGATTCTTTATTTGTCTGCTCCCTATCCTTCTATCTCCGATTGATTTGTCTGATCCCCCGACTCTTGATAGATGAGACAGAATATTTTATACCGAAATAAATAAAATAAAAAGGGAAAATTTTAAGAATTTTTTTTGAAGTAGCATTTTAAAAAAATTATTTCCAAGTATCATGTCACGTCAGGCTTAGCAAACTTCTTTGACTTGGATGCTTAGAGGTCTATCTGATTGTTCACTGGGGAGTATTTAGAGTCAATCTAGACTGTCGATAAACCCTAGTTGAAATTTAGAGGTAATCCTCAAAATTTCTGTCTCCAGTTAACTGTCTTGGCTTATCCTTAACTGTCAGTGAGTAAATCATAGAATTTTTTAGATCTTCTCAAAAATTTTGTCCTAGTGACAAGTCTCACAATAACTTCAGCCTCGGCTTGTTGAGGAGAAACATCTTCTTCTCGAGAATTTTTGTGTCCCTCTCAAAAATTTTGTCCCTATTTCTATTGTAAAGAGAAATAGAAATCTTACGGAAAAAATGATCGAACCCTTGTGGCGCCCACGTATCCCGTTAAGGCAGGAATGAGGTCAAACGTAGTTCCCCTCAAAGGTTAACAACAATAAGGAATTTAAAAAGGCACCAATCGAGGCCAACATAGGCTGCTTACATATCTCGTTCTTGAGAATTCAGGTCGAACGTAGTTCAAATACAAAAAATGTTAAAAGGGATAAATGGGGTGACCGAGGCCGAAATAGGCTGCTTATGTATCTCATTCTTGAGAATTCAGGTTAGACGTAACACATTACAAAAGGGATAAAATTTTAAACAAAGTAAATACAAGAAAGTAGAACGATTACAAAGAAATTATGGAAATACACACTGAAGTTTCACACATAATATCTCTTGACAACATCTAAATTGACCAGTTTCGGCCATGCGGTGTCATCCATCTCCGAGAGGACAAAGGCACCTCCAGATAATACTTCGTGAACCATGTAAGGCCCTTCCAAATTCGGTGCAAATTTTCCTTTATACTCGTCCTGATGAGGAAAAATGCCCTTAAGGACCAACTGACCGATTTCAAAAATTCTGGCTCTTACTCTCTTGTGAAAAGCACGAATCATTCTTTGTCGATATAGTTGATCATGACAGACGGCAACCATTCTCTTCTCATCAATCAAAGTTAACTGGTCCATCCGCTTGCTTACCCATTCAGCTTTACTCAACTCAGCTTTTTGGATGATTCTCAAGGATGGTATCTCAACTTCAGAAGGTATGACTGCTTCTGTTCCGTACACTAGCAAGTATGGAGTAGCTCCAATCGATGTTCTGATGGTCGTTCGATAACCCAATAAAGCATATGACAACATTTCATGCCAACCTCGGTGATTGTCAATCATTTTCCTCAGGATCTTCTTGATGTTCTTGTTGGCGGCCTCTACAGCTCCATTCATTTGAGGACGATAAGACGTTGAGATTCGATGAGTAATCGCTCACATATATCTCTCATTAAGTGACTGTTGATATTTGCACCATTATCAGTAATGATGGATTCTAGCACTCCAAATCTGCATATCAGATTGTTGCAAAATTAATTAGCTACAACTTTCTTGGTCACTGACTTGTAAGAAGTTGCTTCCACCCACTTGGTGAAGTAATCAATAGCAACAAAAATAAATTTATGTCCATTAAAAGCGGCTGGATCTATCGGACCGATGACATCCACACCCCAAGCTACAAATGGCCAAGGTGAACTCATAACATTAAGTTCATAAGGCGGCACTCAGATCAAATCACCTTGCACTTGACATTTATGAAATTTCTACACAAACTTGCAACAATCATTCTCCACAGTCAACCAGAAATAACCGGCTCGAAGGATTTTCCTTTACAAAGTGAGTTCATTCATATGCATGCCGCAAACTCCAGTATGTATCTGCTCGGATAAGCTCTGTAGCTTCAATAACACCGACACATCTGAGAATACCTAAATCTAGGGTCCTCCTATAAAGAACTTCTCCACTTAGAAAGAAGTTGAGGGTCATACAGCGTATCGACTTTTTCTAGTTGGATGTGGCATCTTCAGGATAAATCCCATACTCCAAAACAACCGTCTGGTTCTGCTTCAACGTGGGAACAATGGACCGGATGTTCTTTCAACTCTATATCCAGAAGATGAATATATTCCGTATTTGGATGTTTAATCATTGAGGCAATGGTGGCAAGAGCATCAGCCAACTCATTCTATGTTCTAGGAATATGTCTGAACTCAATCTTACAGAATATTCTGCACAACTTTCGTATATATTTCACATACGGTGTGATCTTTGTTTTCTTCACGGACTATTTTCCTTGAACCTAATGAATTAATAAATCTAAATCTCCAATAACCAACAGCTTGTGGACATTCATGTTAACGGCCATCTTCAAACCGAGGATACAAGCTTCATATTCGTCCATGTTAGCTTCCATTGGATATTGTTGACCATATTATGACACTAAAACTGCTCCAATACCTTTTCCTTTATGATTTGCCTCCCCATAGAAGAATAACCTCCAACCAGGGTAAGTTTCAGAAATATCCTCACCCACAAATGATACTTCTTCATTGTGAAAATAAGTCTTGAGCGGTTCATATTCTTCATCGACAGGATTTTCTGCAAGATGATCAGCCAAAGCCTTTGCTTTTATTTCCTTCTAGGTCACATGCATAATATAAAATTCACTCAAAAGCATCTTTCATTTGGCTAACTTTCCAATCGACATCGCTTTCTGGAAGATGTACTTCAATGGGTCCATCCTGGAAATAAGGTATGTTGTATAAGAAGACAAATAATGTCTACAATCTGAGCGATCTAAGTGATCAAATCAAAACACGTTCTCTCCAAAAGAGTATAACGAGACTCGTATGGTGTGAACTTCTTGCTTATATAAAAAATGGCTCGCTCCTTCTTTCTTGTTTCGTTATGCTGCCCAAGCACGCATCCGAATTGTTATCTTAGACGGACAAATACAACAACAATGGACTCTCTTGTCACAGAGGAACCACCACATGTGGATTGGACAAATAGTTCTTGATAACATTAAAAGCAGTTTGACACTCTTCACTCCACTTTGTCAAATCGTCTTTTTTCAACGGCTTGAAGATAGGGTCACACACCACAGTTGATTAAGCTATGAACCGACTGATGTAGTTCAATCTCCCTAAGAAACTCATCACTCCCTTCTTAGTCTTCAGAGGAGGTAATTTTTGAATTGCCTTTATCTTAGAAGGGTAGAGCGCGATACTTCTTCTGCTGACTATAAATCCCAACAACTTGTCGGCTGGCACCCCAAAAACACATTTAGCGGGATCTAATTTCAAGTTATAACTGCACAGATAATCAAAGAACTTATTTAAAGTAAAGTGCTCTAAACTCTCGCGACACTTGATTATGATGTCATCCACGTACACCTCGATCTCCTTATGAATCATTTTAGGAAATATGGTCGTCATAGCCCTCATGTAAGTAGCGCCAGCATTTTTAAGACCAAATGACATCACCCTGTAATGATATACGACCTAAGGCATAAAGAAAGTTGTTTTTTCTGCATCTTTCTCATCCATTAGAATCTGGTGATAACCTGCGTAACCATCCACGAATGACTGCATTTCGTGTTTAGCACAATTATCAATCAGAATGTGAATGTTTGGCAATGGAAAATTTTATTTTGGGCTGGCTTTGTTGAGATCTCAGTAATCGACATAAATTCTAATCTTCCCATCCTTCTTGGCAACTAAAACAACTTTGGCCAACTAAGTCGGGTATTATGACACTTCCACTAATCGAGACTCGATCTATTTCGTGATCTCTTTTTTAATCTTTAAACTTAACTCAGGATTGAATTTTCGAGCCTTCTGCTTCCCTCGACTGAACCCCGGATTGATTGGCAACTTATGAGACACCACATTGGTACTCAGTCCTAGCATATCACTAACCTCCTAGATGAACACATCAATATATTAAGTAAGGAGATGAATCAGGACCTTTCTTTGAGTTTCATTTAAGTGGACACTGATTTTGACCTATTTGACAAACTTTTGATCTCGCAGATTTACGGTTTCGGTTTCTTTCGAATTCCGCTTTTGCAGATTTTCAAACTGCAGAAATACTTTAGCAACATATTTCGGTACCTCATTTTCTTCTTCCTATTCTTCAGCCTCGTCATCCCCAGCCTTATTTTGTTCGTTCAGCTCGTAACATGACATGACATTGGCAGGTTTAAAACTTATAAAACTAAAACCATAAACAAACAAATTTAGGAAAGCAAAATATAGCAAATAAGTAAATAAATAAATTTTCAATAAAAGAGATTTTCATTCCAATTAGAAAATAATGCAAACTTTGGCCATGACAAAGGGCCATGTTGACTTTTTTAAACATCACGCGGGAATTTTAAAATTCAAGCAATTAAGAAATATGCAAAATAGTGGGTCTTGGCCTCTTCCGGACCGCCACCAATTTTCAAAATATGCATAAACAATGTCCTTCTACCAAGATGATCAGGGAAACAAGATTGGCGTAGAAGTCCAATTCTACAGCTGTTCTCCAAGCTCAGCATCATGGATACCAGCTAGCTCGACCTCTTCTTCTATGACAGCATCGATCTCTTCAAAAAAGTCGCAGGATCGGTTAGCCAATGCTCGATCACTGCTCTTCTTCATCTTCATATCATCATCTGTGGGGATGTACCCTAAACCATATCTAGCTCCTTTGACGAGGACTAGAATAGACTCAATAATCCCTTAGGAATTTTTTCCCAATCCAAAACCTAGTTTGAACTTATTCTGCAGCATCACAGTGGCGATCATCTTGTACACAGCAGGCATAGGAGGCTATGGGGCTAAATCCTCACCGGTGGCATTTATCAGCTCCACCGTGTAGAAATCGGTACCTCGCGAGACTTCATCAATAATGGGTGTTTACCTGCCGTAGTGAATCCTTTCGCCGTGAATAACCATTTTTTCGTCCTTCCAAATGAGCTTCATCATCTGGTGAAGAGTATAGGACATAGCTCCAGCCATATGGGTGAAAGGCCTACCCAGAAGAAGCTTATAGCTGGTTTCAATGTCCAAGACTTGAAACTGCACACTGAACTCTGTCAGACCCATTTGGATGATCAGATTCAATGCTCCCAATGTTTCTCTTTGTACTATGTCGAAGGCTCTTACATTGACTTGGTTTTGTTCCAGCTTCCCCAAGTCAAAACTTAACTGAATTAGAGCCGACAGTGGGCAAATATTGAGACCGGACCCATCGTCCACTAGGACACGGTTTATGACCCTTTAACAACATATGACAGTGATGCAATGCCTTGTTGTGCAACCTTCCTTCAAAGGGAAAATCTTCGTCACAGAAGCTAATCTGATGCCCTCGTATAACTTGGTTGATCATAACCGCTACATTATCGCTGCTTGTGCCCACGGGCACATACGTATCATGAAGAGCCTTCATCAAGGCCTGTCTATGTAATTAGGAGCTCAACAGCAAGGCCCACGCATAAATCTGGGCTAGAGTTTTCTCCAAATACTTAACAGTCGAATAATCCTTTGTCTGCATCTTCCTTAAGAATTCTTCAGCTTTGCCTTCGCTTATTGACCTCTTTCCTTGATCCTACTTCTGCCCTCTAGCCAACTCTTCGGGAGTATAACACCTCCCAGATCGGGTCATACCCTGAGCAACAGCGGTTTCAATCACAAAGTTCGGCCTAGAAGAAGCTTTGAATGGCACCAAGGCAACAGCCTTTGCGGGTGTCAAGATCACGAAATCTTTTTTTTCGTTAACGCTCAGTGAGGCCCCAGCCCTATCTAACTCATCCTGGGCAATCGGAGTTATCACTTTGGTAACACACTAGTCATCATCCGTCTCTATCATTTTGACGCCTCCATGATTTGACAAAGGATTGGTGTTGACATTGCGTGTAGCTGTTTGAAGAGAAACCACTTCTTAGTCGATCTTGAATCTTGTGTTTGAGGTTTATACAATCCTCAGTATCATGTCCAATGTTGTTGGAGTGATATGCACACCTTTGATCGGATTTGTAAAATTTGGAACTAGTATCCGCCGGTTTGGGCCTCGCCGGGTAGATGTATCTAGCTGCACTCAGTCGCTCGTACAACTATGTTCGGCTTTGAGCTAGCGCGGTAAAGTTTCTAGGTGGGATTTTTCTTGAATCTTGGTTGAGTGGGGTCTTTTGTGGGTCTTCCTCCCCTCAGAAAAGACATTCGAAACGTCTTCTCTCTTTTTCATTAACAAACTCGATGATCCAGGCGATGCAGCAAAACGGGTTATCTTCCCAGTTTTCAAACCATCTTCGATAGTCTCACCAG